AATTTCATGAGATTCTGCATGCTTTCCTTTTTTTCTAAAATGCAGTGTGGCAGAAGTTAGAAGAAGAAAATGCAGACTTTTTCCGGGCCTATTACATAAGGCTTAAATTGAACAAACAAATTATCTTATTCAATCACTTGCTCGACCATCAGTATCGTGTGATGAAGTATCCAATGCCCGGTAACAGATCTAAGTTTAAAAAAATCTTATGAAGTTTCCACGTGAAAATAGTTTTCGCCTTTCGGTGATTATAATTGATAACATGAAGTGCGCACACTCTTTTAGATTTTATACTTTTATCATCATTTATACAATGCTCCTTGTTTGCAGTGCAGTTAATAATAATAACTTACCTATTGGATATCCGGTGGCACAGCAGCCTCAAATTCCAATTCCAACTCATATTGGTGCCATGGCTTATTCTCACATTGTCGATGGCTTTCCTGCTCCAAGCAATTTTCTTCCTGCGCAAATGGATTCGTGCAATGGGTAAAAAAGGCAAAAATGTGTTTTTAGTTTTACAATTTCAGTCCCAATGTTCCAACATTTTTCCTTTTGGTCCTGTGATTTTAATATTTTGCTCTTTGAGGACTGAAATTGCAACAAAATTTTAAATTACAGGACTGAAATTGCAACAAAATTTTAATTACAGGACTTAAATTGCTAATAGAAAAATCCACCCCAAAGACATAAATTATATGTTGCAGTTTCAGTCCTCAAAGGACTGAAATTGCATCAAAATATTAAATTACAGGACCAAAAGGCGAAATGTTAGAACCTTGAGACTAAAATTGCTATGGCGTTAGCCAACAGGACTAAAACTGCAATTTAGCCGGTAAAAATATGTAACATCTAACATAAGTCCTAAAGATGATACTCTATCCTATGGTTTTCAATGAATAAAAGTCCATTTATTTTTTCTGGGATAATAATTTAGTTATTTATTATTTTTTTCTCTGCAGCATAGCAATTGAAACCAGTACTGCTGCTGATGTGTCACCCGTTATGCCTCCGAACGGAACAATTTCGGATATGCCTGTGAGCCCCTCATCAGTGGCTTCAAGTGGCCAACTTCCTTTCATTGGAGTCGAAAATTCGGGCCTCGACACAGCTTTTACGTCTGATGTGGCGAGTTCGGTGGGCCTACAGCTTACGACAGATAACGGGGCAGGGAATATTCCAAGAGATTCCCTGAGGTCGTTTGATGATATCCCGTGGAATTTTGTTCCCTTGAATTTTTGCCTCTCGGATCTAACAGCCGATTTATTGAACTTGGGAGGTAATTTTAATTTTTTACCGTCAATTTCTTGTGAAATGCTGTGTGTTTAGGTCATAATTAGCATAGCTGCAAAAAGATCAGTTTATCTTTTACTACAACAAATGTGACATTGCCCCATAAACATTGCACTTTTGTTTGTTTATAGAAATATGCCCTTTGGTAAATGCAATTTGTAAAATAGAAGCTAATTGTATTCTCTAACTTTGACACCTTCAAATGTTTACATCTTTTGTTGCCATTGCTTGAAACATTTTTACAGATTTAGGAGCTCTTGGAAACTACCCCGGCTCTCCATTTTTGCCTTCTGACTCGGATATTTTACTCGATTCTCCAGAGCAAGAAGATATAGGTAAGAGTGATATACATTTTTCCGATCACTTT